GATTCCCCAGGCAGGGTGTAGTGGTCTCAGGGATTCCAGCCAGTAATCTCCCTTGTCTGGGTCCCTCCACACCCCAGTCAGCACGATTCATGCTCTGAGGCACTGTGACGAGTGTCTTGGTGTATATTGTTGGTAGGAGATTTTTGGACAATATGTCGTCGTTACCACCGTAGAGACCGCTAGGACTCAGCCCCCGTGAACACCTGCACTCCGTCCTGTCCTGTTCCATCCTTGTCTCTGACACACCTGATCTTGCCGTATACGGGACAGTGTATCTGCCTGACACCAGTTGTTCTTCGTCCCTGAACAGATTTCAGACACTGGAAATGGAAATGTTCCTCTGGATCAGCCTTGTCTGGAGGTCCCTGCCTCCTGACCCAGCGGAGCCCTTTACTTAACAGCACTGTCAACATTCTCGTTCTTTCTTTGGTTCTTTTCAGGTGCACCTTAGGCTTGAGCTGCCGTCTTTGTTCTTTAGCACTTTGGAGAGGTCTTTGCAAGCACATTTCCCAGTGTCTTTTGATTTCCTGTTTCTTGACTGCTGTTAACCATAAATACCGTTGAGTCAAGTACGACTCATCGCGACCCTGTGAACAGCAGGTCTGAACCCTGTCCTGTCCTGTCCTGTGCGATCTTATCACCTGTGATGCCATGATCCCACTGCAGCCGCTCTGTGAGCCATCTGGTTGAGAGTCTTTCTCCGCTTCACTGACCGTCCACCTTTCTCCAAGTGTGTGTGTGTATAAATGAATGGATGTTTAATTAAACAGCTTTCCTGATAGGCAGTTTACATACTATAAAATCTACTTATTTGAAATTCAGTGGATTTTTCATAAATCCAAACCACTTTGCAAACCCCACCCCTGGACAGTTCTAGAGAACATATCCACTTCCTCTTGAAGCTCCCACCCGCCCTTCTGTAGCTAATTCCCGTTCCCAACCTCGGCCTGCCACTCAACTGTGTGTTCTGCTGTATAGATTTGCCTTTTCTTCGCAGGAAATACGTTGTGTCACGGAGAGTTGCTCGATGATGCCAAGTCAGCTCTGACTCGGAAGGTTCCCCTGTACAGCAGGATAAAAAGGTTTCCGGTTTCTAGAAGCACTGGGGCACAGTGGTTAAAAGAGCTTTGGTTGCAAAAAATGTGTAGTGTGTCTAACCAAGAGGTTAGGGGTTCGAACTTGCCAGCTGCTCCTTGGGAGACAGAGGAGAAAGTCTGCTTCTGGAAAGCCTTGGAACCGTGATGAGATTGTTCTGTCACGTGAGGTTGCCATCTATGAGTTGGAATTGACCCATGGCAACAAGCTTGGTTTTTGTCATTGACCAGTTTTCTTACTTGGCCTTTGGTGGCATTATATTAATTTAAAAGTATTTGCA